GCCTTCAATTCAATAGACTGGGGCCAGGGTCTAGAAAAAAATAAGCTGTATTTTCTATTTGCACCCTTAAGCATACAATGGCAAAAATAAAAAAAAATTACACTTTCTTGGCAGTTAACTTCAAAAATAAATTTATTTCGGTTAAAAAGCTGATTTAATGTTTTCCGTTAAGAAAAACCCAACAAACAACTAGGAACTGTATGGAAGGGTTTTGTTTGTAGGAAAGCACCAGTCAAACTCTTGTGCACGCTGGTGATGATATTAGCTCAGGGCATAGGAGAGATGAAATTCTCAGCTTTGCTACATGCTTCTTATACTGCCTCGGCAAATCATCCCATCTCACAGCTCTTGAGCTGTGAAACAGAGAGAAATAACACTGCTCCATCATCCAGGGAGGGGGAACGTGAATGAATGAAAGATAATGAGCCATTCATGATGAGGGAAATCGTTGAAGTTAGTAAGGCAGAGAGAAGACTGGAAAGTAAATTCAGGTGTTATCATTTAGTAAGAGGTAAAAGACTAGAGAGAGAGAATGGATAACTGCTGCACACCAGCAGGGGAACTGCAAACATCATAACATCATTCCTGCAAGCCTTGAGGCAAAGCTGATGGCCTAATACTGCAGGAGAAACCAGCACACTGAGAGGTGAGGAGCAACACTACCATTTTAAATTTTTTTTGGTGATGGTGGTGGTGGTATGTTCTTTGGAACAGGACTTAATCCTGTATCTGAAAAGCATTTGGAATATTTTGGGCACCACGGATATGGTCAGTGAAATATGGTCCTAATTATAAGAAAAGGACTGTTTATGCAATGGCTTATCAACCCTGCAAACACTCTGAATGGATAAGACACAACTTCACAGACTGATTGTACAAGATTGCAGGTGACAAGCTGGAAAGAGATGGGGCTCTGAGCCCATTTGAACGGAGGTGAGCAGGAATCAGGCAAATGGAAGTGGAAAGATGCTCCTGGGTCAGCCAGCTTGGGAATTCCAAAGGACTGAGCCCTCAGGAGAAGAGCCAGAAGTCGGTAGAGCACAAGGACAGCGAGAGTTGAGGATGTGGTCATAGACAAGGGGAATGATACAAAAAAGGAAGAAGAACATAGCACAGCTTTGAGTTGGTTCATTTGGAGTTGTAAACAGTGTTTCTCCAAAGGAGAAAAGCTGTAACGATAAATCATTAAATCATCTGTTGTTGGACCAAAGTGCACATAAAAAAGTGATAAGCAGTCCCCAGCTGCCTTTCCCAGCTGAAAGGAAGGTTCTGCTTGACTTGCCATACAATGCTGGATACTAATCTACTGACCTGCAAGGCTCTGGCATATGAAGTTTTTTCCTTTGAAAAGTGTCATATGTAGCCACTTTTATGTGCAGTATCACGTTTCCCCTCCCTGGGGCAGGAAACACAGGAGAGGGGAGACGTTTGTGCTTCAGTAACACCACAAGTAAGACGGTAGATTGCCAGCTATTTATTTGTGTAGGAAGCCACTGCTGCTCCGTCCCTGCCTGCTCCTCTGGTGCACTCGGGGCATAGCACTACACCCAGCTGAGCATAATGTCCCCTTGTCGCTCCCAGGGCAGCCATCCTGTCCTTCCTGCTCCACAGTGTCCATCTCTGCCCCAGCCAACTTGGTCTCCTTTCCCCCCACCCCTTCTGCAGGTGGGAGAGAGGAGAGGCTGGGCTGTCACTGCCGTTCACCCCAAGAGGCTTTGTGTGCAGATTCCTGTCTGGGGCTTTGTCAGGAGCACTGAAATAGTTTAACAAGGCAGAAAAATAAAGGTGTAGCAGCACCCTGGTGCTTACTGGGGCTGCCACATGCCATGCTGTGCACAAGCTGCTGGGTGCTGGATCAGCAAGCAGAGCTCTGTGCTGCCCACACAGCCTGCAAAGCCAGCATCCTGTAGCCAGGTAACCTGTTTTGTAGCTCATGGGAATGAACGGCCTGAGAACAGCACAGGAGCAGAGTTCAGGTAAAATGAAGATACTTCAGTGCTCCAGTGCAATTAAAAACACTTAATAGTCACAAATGCACTTATATAAAGTAGATGGATATTCACAGTCCTTCATTAACTATGTTTTTTCTTTTCAGCTTCCTTCCCTTAGCAGAAAGCAGTGCAGCTGACTTTGTAGAGATGACTCTTGGTGCTGTTTCAAATCGTGGAGCACTTCTCTCGGCCTCCCTGAACTTCTGGACAGCGAGGTCTGCTTTGAGATGGAAGAATAGCACCCTCAAGAGTTGACAGTGCTGCTTCAGGGAGCCATAGCATGCAACACACATCCTTCCTCTCTTCGTTAAATCAACTCCCTGGATCATGTAACTGGAGCAACGAGAACAAGTTTCCTCTTTAAGATCTGAAATATTTGGTATCAGTCACTGATGACATGAATGTGGAAATAAGCATTTGTGCTTGTCTGGGTACGATCCTGTTCTAAACATTTTATTTGTCTTTAGAAAAGGAGGGACAATAACAAGACAAAGATATGTCTTATTTGCTAAGTCTGGGATCCTCATTTTATACCATATTAAAACAATTTGAACAGGAATTTATGTTTTTGTGTAAAAAGAGATTATTTAAAAGTTCTTAACTTAGATAAAAGGGGTCTATGTTAAAAAAAAAAAAAATACTGAGCAAACCAGTCCTTAAATTGTGGGGACTTGTTTGTTAATTACAGTAATTAGGAATGGAATCTGATCCTAAACGTTTTGATTTACTTTGAATTTTTTTTAATATGTGGTTAGGCCTTAATTTCAGAATGATTATAAAACGTGAGAGCATTTTAAAGACTAAATAGGCGTAGGTATTGTTACTAAATGATAAACTTAGTTATATGCTTCTGCTTACACTTTCTTAGTTATCCTTCTGTTGTTTCATGCAGCACTGACCTTTTATTTTAAATGTCCATGGACTATTCCTGTTTCTGCTGACTTCAGAGTCAGATAAGGCCTCTCAAAAGCTCAGAGTATAAACTGCTTACCAGCTTCTATTCCAGATGATATTTCTCCCACCAGGCAACAAATCCAACTCTGGGTTTGTCCCCTTCCTGGAAATGGGTTTGCTTGAGTAGAACCAGCTGAATTTGGAAAGATGGGTGCAGTCAGGGGCATTTTACTCTCCACTCTGAAGCACCCAAAACCCACTCCTGTCACAGACTTTGGCCTTTTCCTCTGTATCATGACTTTGTTCAGAGTTCTTGCCAGTGTTCTGGTAGCTTAGTCAGCTCCCCGTGGAAGCACCCCTGTGAGGCACCCCTGTGAGGCACTCCTGCTGCCTGTTGAAGCCAAGACGTATAATTTTACAAAATACTGACTGTATATAAAAAACAATATAGGATTGATTTTTTTTCTCTTGATAGTGAAAAGTATATTCTGTAGTCTGTAAATTAATATATTTCCCTCCTGCAATTATAGAATTCATTCTCCTGAGAGGACACTGGAGCGCAAAATCTGACTGACTCCGCTGGACTCGTGTTTGCTCATGAAACAGAGGCTCACACATGCATTGTATGAAACAAGACATGGGGTCCTGGTGCACTGGCATTTTTTGTTGCCTGTTGAATACTTTGTCAATTACTTTTAAATGCAAGAATCTGCCAAACCTTTTCTGAGCAAGGAATTTACATCACAAGTTTGCTTTACTAAAAAATCCAGAACTTATAATTGCAGCTTTTTTTTTTTTTTCTCCAGCCGTCACTGTGTTTGATTCATTTCCCCTGCAGATCTTTCTGTAGCAATTTTAAACCCACACCTTGGCTCGTCCTTTCTCTATGCCAGTTTCAAAGGGACCTTCGGGACCAGGAGAACTAAATGCCCGTGGGATTCCTCGCGGTGCACCTGCATGCTGTGCAAGGGGGGACGGAGACATCTGCTCTGCGGACTGGAGGGATGGCAGCAGGAGGAATTTTGTGCATGCTCACCCCTCCCGAGCTGAACTTCGAAACAGAGGCTCCTGGGGAGGCACAGGAGCTGCTGTAGAAGCATATCCCGGAGGGGAGCCGCGGGGGCTGCTCCTCTCCAGTCCCGCGGGAGCATCGATCGCCTTCGAAACCCCCGGCAGAAGGATTTAGGGAACGCTCGGAGCACCGGGCCAGGGGGCCCGGGCCCGGCTGCGCCCGCGGTTATCTCGGGTCAAGGCCGGGAGGCGGCCCGGCACTGCTCGACATTGCTGAGTGTGCGTTTGGGGAAATCCGTCATTAAATTTACCTGCTTGATTCGTGCGGGGGGTGAGGGGGCCCGCAGGTGACCCGGCTCCGGCTGTCCCGTGCAGGCGGGGCAGCTCCTCCGCGCCTGGGGCCGGCAGTGACGGCCGGAGCCGGCGGGGTGGCCCGGCCGATCGCCACCGAGGCTCCGCGGCCACCGCGCTCGCCGCCCCTGCCCGCCGGGAGCCATCCCCGCACGGTCCTAGCGCCGCTCGGGGCCGGGGGAGCCCCGCGGGTCCCGCCGCCGGGATGCTCCGAGCCCGCCGGCCCGGGGCGCTGCGGGCAGGGAACCACGGCCGGTGGGGCAGCGCCTCCCCGTCCCGACGGGGCGAACATTCCCGACTGGCCAAATATTTGCAAGTATGCGCGGCTGATGGTGAACTTTGAGACTCCCTGCCAAGCGCGGCCGGGGAGCGCAGGGCCGGAGCTCTCGGCGCAGGGGCGGGAGCGGGCGGTGGAAATGTACCGGGGCCGCCTTTGGCCGCTCCTGCCCCGCCGAGCGGCCCCGGCAGCGCAAAGTCCCCGCGCCGTTCCCCGGGGCCTCTTATCAGCGCCGAGCGTCCTCGGCGGCCGTCGCCCAGAGCTCCGAGCCCGCCGAGCCGGGTGTGCGGGGCCGGGGTGTGCTGTGTGCGGGGCCGGGTGTGCGGTGTGCGGGGCCGGGGTGTGCGGTGTGCGGGGCGCTCTCCCGCGGCTCGGCGGCTCCCGGGGGAGGGCGGGCGGGCGGGCGGGCGGTGCTGCCCGGCCAGGGCGCTGAGCCCCGGCGGCGCGGCGGTCAAAGGTTCCCAGCAGGAGGTTGGACACTAGAGGGCGATCCCCGGCCCTGCTGCGGGCTGTATATATACGGCACGCAGGACCGCGGCAGCCCATTAGCAACAGGGCAGGCAGGCAGCGCGCAGAGCGGGGCTGGGCCGGGGACGGGCGCGCCGTGCCGAGCCGAGCCGAGCCGTGCAGAGCCGCGGTGCCGTTCACCGTCCAGGCAGGATTGTTAGAACCGCCGCCGCTGCCGCCGCCGTCCCGTTCGAAAGCTGGATTGCAGCAGCCCTTCACCATGCCCGGCAGACTGTAGGTGCTTCATGGAGCAAGCCAACTTCTACGAGGTCGATTCCCGGCCCCCGATGAGCAGCGGTCAGCACCACCAGCTCCAGACTCCCCTGCCCGGCAGCGCTTACAGCTACAGAGGGGCTCCCTCGGCGGCGGCACCTGCTGCGGGCGGCGCGGAGCTCGGCGACATCTGCGAGAACGAGAACTCCATCGACATCAGCGCCTACATCGACCCCGCCGCCTTCAACGACGAGTTCCTGGCCGACCTCTTCCAGCACAGCAAGCAGCAGGAGAAAGCCAAGGCCATCCTGGCCGGGGATTTCGACTTCCACACCATGCATGGGGCCGGCGCCGCCGCCTCGGCGCCGGGGCACCAGCAGCAGCACCACCAGCAGCCGCTCTTCGGCTGCGTGGCCGGCTACATGGACGGCAAGCTCGATCCCCTGTACGAGCGCATCGCCGCGCCCGGCTTGCGGCCGCTGGTGATCAAGCAGGAGCCCCGGGAGGAGGAGGAGGTGAAGTCGGCGGCCCTGTCGGCCCTCTACCCCCATCACGCCCCGCAGCAGCACCCGTCCCACCTGCAGTACCAGATCGCCCACTGCGCCCAGACCACCATGCACCTCCAGCCAGGGCACCCCACGCCGCCCCCCACGCCCGTGCCCAGCCCGCACCACCCGCACCACCCGCACCCCCCCGGCGGCCTGCCCGCCGCCGGCGCCCTCAAGATGATGCCCGCGGACCACCGGAGCAAATCGAAAAAGACAGTGGACAAGAACAGCAATGAGTACCGGGTGCGCCGGGAGCGCAACAACATCGCGGTGCGCAAGAGCCGGGACAAGGCCAAGCAGCGCAACGTGGAGACGCAGCAGAAGGTGCTGGAGCTCACCACCGACAACGAGCGGCTGCGCAAGCGGGTGGAGCAGCTCACCCGGGAGCTGGAGACTCTGCGGGGCATCTTCAGGCAGCTGCCCGAGAGCTCGCTGGTGAAGGCCATGGGCAGCTGCGCTTAGGGCCGCGCCGGGACCGGCCGGGCTGCCCTGCCCGCCCACAGATACTTTACGTACCGGAGCGCGGCCGGCGCACTGTGCCGGGGGAAAGGGGGACGGGGTCTGTTTTGTTTTTTGTTTTGTTTCGTTTGTTTGTTTGGGGTTTTTTTATCAGTTCACGACCTATACAAGAAGCCAGGCAGCTCTAGTATTACAAGGTTTGTGCCTTACGGATGACACACGAGTAAGCTGAAAACATGGTGGGTTTTCTAAGGAGAAGGGCAAGGGGAAGGAAGAATTAAAAAGCCCACGTGTCTACACAGGGTAAATAACAGTAATAATAATAATAATAATAATAGTAATAAAGTATGCATAGCAACCCAGATGTGCCTTAAAAGCTAGCTGCAGGAGCTCTGGGGCTTTTTGTGCCCTCTAGCCTGGCAGGGCACAAGGAAAAAGGGTGAGGGACGTGCAGGCTTGAGGGTCGGGGTGTCTGGGGTGTCCTGCCAGGCCCCCTCAGCTGGCCTGCAGTTCAGCAGGCAGGAGCAGCTGTGGGGATGCCAGCGACGAGAAGAGGACTTGAGGCTGAGAGATATGCAGCACTCGACACCCGTTTGGAGCACTGAGGTGTGGGGCAGCCGCTAGACTGCTGCCAGGACTGTCCCAGCCTGGCTGGGCTGCCTCTGCCAAGCCCTATCCCCTACCTTGGCTGGGAGAGGGGCAAGGGGCCACCACCGCTGTGGGACCAATGGACAGCCTGGGAGTGATGGAGCAGCAGCTTGCGAGAGTGTGTGGTGAGCTCCCTCCATCAAAGGAAAGAGCAGCAGTGTACTGTATGTCACGACATGGCGAAGCACAAATGAATAAATACCTATCGATGCGGGTATTTGCTATGAACTTTCAGTGTATTTTGCTTTATTCCAGGACGTTTAGCTCCTGTCCAAGTCTCTGTCCGTCCAAGCTGTGCCTCATGTAATGTGAAAGCCTTTCCGTGTATACTAGCTACACTTTATTTTTATTGCATTACTTAGATCTTTGCCATCACACAACTTTATCTGGTGACAGAGACTATGCCCTTGTGCTGCAATGTTATTTTATTATTTGTGTGGGTGGGTGAGTGTGAGTGTGTGTTGCCTTCTTCACATTGTCCTGTACTGATTGCTGCTTCCTAAGCCCAAGGCAAGGGTGCCTGGAAGGGGGCACGGGCTGTGGGACTGCAGGGCCGCCTGCAGCAGGGCAAGGAGGCTTGTCCCTGGTGCTGCACCACCTTTGGACTCTGGAGCTTCTCCCAGGGTGAGAGAAAAATAAACAAACAGTCTCCCTTCCAGGGTGTGCTGGTAGCCATGCAGAGCGTTTCTTCCTCGTGTTGTAGCTGCACAGCAATTTGTCCAACTGAAGTTAAGTCATGACGAGAGAATAAGGTGGATGAAGCTGTTTGAAAGCATGACAGAGCACAGTGCTGGCGGTGCGTGTATGTGTGTGCAGTGTATGTGTGTATGGTATGTATACGTCTATGTATATGCACACACATTGGTGTTGTTTTTTTTTTAATTTGGGGGGGAACCGCATATAAAGTTTGTCAGAAGTCCTGGTTACGTTCATAAATAAACAGTATATATTCTACCATAACCATCCACCTCTCTGCGTGTTTCCAGCCCTTATTCTGTAGCAGGAAAAGGGAGAAGCTCCCCTCTTCCTCCAGACCAGCATCCCGCTCGTGGAGCGCAGCTCCCCGATTTTCGCCCCAGAGAAATAAATACGCGGTTGCCTCTAAAGAGAGCCGCAATTTCCTAAACACTTGCGGTGTCAGATGTGTGCCCGTGAGTCACCCCTGGCTTCACCCTTCACCCGGGGGCTGCGGGCGGGCCGGGGGACGCGGGGCCGGGTGGGACGAAGGGAACGCCGGGCGGCGAGGGCATGGAGCTCGCCCGGGACAACGGGACAGCGGGGGACAAGGCCGGGGCACGGCGCGGCCGAGCGAGGAGGCGGCGGGCAGGGCACGGCCGGGCCCCGCTCGTCCCTCAGCGCTGCTGCTGCCCGGCCCTTCCCGGCCAGACGGGAGTTTCGCCCTGTGCGGGTCGGGCCCGACGAGGCTGTTCGGCCCGGCGCTGTTCGGGGCCGGCGGGGCAGGGCGCGGTACCCCCCGCTCCGGACGGACCCCTCAGCGGGCCGGGGGATCGGCGCCGCCGGCGGGGAAGGGGTGCGGGACCCGGCGATGGGGGCGGGAAGGGGCGGTGGCGATGGGGGAGGAGGCTCCCTGCGGGCCGTCCCGTCCCGTCCCGTCCCGTCCCGGAGCTGCCCCGCAGCGGCGCCCGGCGTGTGGCGCGGTGCCCTGTCCGGGGTCAGCGGGGACCCCCGGGCGCCGCCCGCCCTCTCCCCCGGCGGGGCTCCGTGCCCGGGCGGCCGGGCTGGGGCTGCGTGCCAGGGAAAGCTGCCCCGGGGCCCGTCCCCTTCAGCGGCGCCCGTGTCCGCCTTGGCCGTGGAGGGGGATCCGCCCGGGCGAGCCGAGCTCCGCACAGCTCACCGCCCCCGTGGCGTGCCCATTGCCCCCCGTGCCGTGTAGGTCCAGCACGGCAAAAATTAAACACCCCAAAGAGGGAGATTTGGGCCCGCAGCTGTGTGTCCCGGCGATGCGCAGGCCGTGAGACGGGACGTGTCCCGGTCCCTGGTGCGGGAGCAGCCCCCGCGCCCCGCTCGGCCCTGGGGCTGGACGGGACCGCTCCGGGGGGCTTTGCCTCCTCCCCGCGGGGCTCCTGGTGGGCTGCGGAGGGGAAGAAGGGCCAAGCTGCTCCTCCGAAATCCCCCGTGACCGTCAGTCTGCAAGCACTCGCTTCTCGGGATGGGTGAAAGATAAATGCAGATCAGGACCAAGGATTTCACTTTTCGGTTAGATGTACATCGGGGGGTCCAGAGCTGCTAGTTTTCCGAAGAGAGGGTTAAGTTCTAGCGGTGTTGGGCAAAATTAATGACTTTTACTTGAGTGTGCTTCCTCCCCCAGCCCTGCAGAGCTGTACACCCGTTGGGTAGGATGTGCCTTACTCAGTAATGCTGTCCAACGTGTAAAGTGGGGAAATGCTGTTATCGTTTGAGCAAAGATTATTGCAGGGTATATGTGGGAGGGACTGTAATCTAGTGGTTAGAGCATGGGAATACAGTCCTGGTCGTTTGAGTTATGTTCTGAACTGTGACTCACCGTGTGTGTGTGGTTTCAGCAAATCATTTATGACCCCAGACAAAGCAGATTTTTCCATTAATTTAAATGAACTGTAGATTAAACTAGTCTTCATTGGCAGAAGAATCAACCATTCTATGATTCAAAATTAAGATCACCTATCTACTACCACATAGGTGTTTCAATAGTTATATAAACACAGAATGCCTTGGAATAGAACAAAGGGTAAATTATTGATAGCAGGAAAGTGTTTAGAGACACTTGCCTTAAACACAGTGCCAAAGTGAGCAGCGTTCTCTAATCCTAACCCTAACTGTAGGCTGAGCCTTCGACAAGGGCCTCACTTATGGCTTAGACAAAACAGTTCTCCCAGCACAGGGCGTTTTGCAGCCTCTTAGTGCTCTTTGCAGCCTGCTTTTTGCTTTGGCACCCCCCTCCCAGCCCTCCCCAGCTGCATATCTACACTTTCTCTTCCCGTCAGACTGAACCCTCACCCTGGCACAGGGCTGAGCCTTCGAAAAGTCCCTAAGTCATTGCCCAGAAGAAGAAGGTTCTCACAGCAGCTGTCCAGGGGTGTTTGCTGTAGCAGCAGGGTCAGAGCCAGTGGCGCTGCACAGCCCCAGCCTCACGCGTGACCCCCTGCACTGCCCTTTGCAGCAGCACGTTATACACGCTGCGTGGTGGAGAGGATTTTATGCACTGTCTACTCGGACAGTTGGAGCTGGAAGGGACCTCTGGGGATCGTGTGTGCCAGCCCACTCCTGTGAGCACAGCTGCCAGTCCGAGTGGCAGGCGGCTGCGCTGCGGGCACACGTGGGTAAGTGTGGCAGGACTGTGGGCAGGGACAGCTCCCACGTGTGGCATTGCCACTCATCTCCCTGCACACACGCACCCTGCACTGAGACTAGCCTGGCACGGGCAAGGCTTGAGCAGCTCCAGCTCTGGGAGAGTGCTGTGGGTGTATGTACTCAGTGACATTTGTCTGCTCGACTGCTGGGTGGCTTTTTGGTTTTCCCGCTGAGCCTGTTCCTTTTCTACGCAGCACTGCTGCAATGCTGGCAGCCTCTGCCCATCCTGCCACACCAGTGGGGCTGTGCAGTCCTTCCTCCTCCACCCCTGACCCTCGCCAGTCCCAGACACGGGGCTGGGGACACGGAGGGGTGAGGTGTGGGAGTGGGCAGTGACTGAGAGGCTGAGCGAGTAATGCCATGTTTGGGAGGAAGGGAGTAGTTGTCTGCCAGCACTGTGTACAGGGTTGAGAGATTGCTCACGACCATAGCAAAGTCCTGCAGCAGCTTGGGGGTGGCGGGGGAATGTCAAGATTTCTCAGTCTTTTATTTTTCTCTGCTGCAACTGATGAAATTGCCCCTGAGGAGCTTTCCTCATCCACCTGCTTCAGGAGGTTGGAGGACAGGAATGAATTTCCACACTGAAGCAGGGCAGTGAGAGATGCTTTGCCGTGAGGAGAAAGCAGGTGCTCTGCACTTAGTGGTTTGGATTTACTGGGTGAATTGAGTTTGACCCAATTCAATAGTGAAAAGAATGGCAAATGTCTGAGTAAAGGGTGGAGAAACAGGCCCACTGCCCTCTTTTGGAATAACAGATTAAGTTAAAAGTAATGTTTAATACATTGACACCTCCGGTTTTAGGTGTATCTTTCTTCCCCTGTAAAGAAATCCATGTTTATACACATGAAATCACATACAAAGACCACACAAATATCAAGTGTTTTACTGTTGTTTGCTGTATCATACTGGGGGGTAACTGGATTTTAAAGCCAAGGAAACACTTAGTAATAATACACATATCACAAAAAACTTCAAAAGAACCAGAAAGTCTGTTCAGATACTTCCTTCAAGTCCATATTATATTATTAATTTTTTTATGGTTCTACTTAGTATCTCAAACTTAGGCTATGAATCCAAAGAGAGAAAATCAGCCTTTATCCCAAGGAGTTTACAGCTTTGGTGGAAAATCAGCATATGCTCAGCTGATGGAGCACCTGTATATCCAGAGTAATCCAGTCTGTGTAGGTAGCCTGAAACAAAAATCAACTGTTTGTAACACAGATTTTTTTATTTATCAACCATTATCAGGTTGTTCCTCAGGTTTACCCCTGGCAGGGTGAAGGCAATATGTTTACACTGTCTGGCATGCCAAGAGCTTTGCTAGAGACTTCCACAAACTCCCTCTCCATGCAGGAGCTGATGTCTCCAGGACTATGTGGGTATACATCTTTAATTGGAAGGCAATCCTCGTAAATGGAATCTGATTCATTTACTCTCAGTATTTAAGTGCAATTTTCTTAGTTTAACACCATTCTATTTTACTGCAGTATTGCATCTTGCCTCTGAAATTAATAGTTAACCACGGAGAAAGACAGGTCTGGCAGAATGGAAATCAGGCATTATATTATCCCATGAGTCACATACGTGCAGAGAACCAAACAAGTGTCAGCCAATGGCTTTGAGCCCAAAATATGTCAAAGAGGAGATGAGTATCTTCATTTATATTAAGTAGATAGAAGGCTTTCTGCCATTCCCATTAAACAGGTTGGAGTTCTGCCATGGACTTCAGTGGGAACAGGATTGGGCCCAGGCATGGAAGCTGGCTCTGGTTACCTGCACTGACTGTATCTTCTGTGCAGCAGGGAAACTTACATTTTAACAACAGTTCCTAGTCAACAGAGAGATTCAAAACCTCCTCTGGTTTTAGGCATTACTCTTTCCTTTATTAGTTTGATGGCCTGACTCCTTCAAAGTGTGAGGATGCTCAGTAGTAGGCAGCAATGGATGATTTTCTGGGTGCAGCTTCACTGACAAGTGGAGAGGAATTAGCACAGAACTGAGAGGGATTTTCTGAGAGGGGTTTTGTGATTTCTAATTGTTTACACTTAAGAACCACATTTAGGATTTAACCCCACTTTAGGCATTCAAACCACTTTTTCTGGCTGAATAAATGCCTCAGAGTGTTTCAGAGCTTTCTTGAATACCAGGGAACTTTTTTACCTCAGTTTTCTCACTCTGGGTATTCTCTCCACAGCTCCTAATGCATCTGGCTGTAGACCTGCCTCAAGAACCAAATAAATCCTGGGCTGCTGATACGCATTGGATCTCCCATGTGATTTGTGCTCAAGTTCCTCAGGGAGGGGAGATGATGTGAATAAATACTAGTAACTACACACAAAGCAGCAACTCTGAGATCAGGGCTGAATGCCAAATCTGCTGTTGGTCACTAAGTTCTAGCTCTTATATACAAGCTTATAGTCATCTCTGTCACATGTATGTTTTACTTTCGTTATATTGTCATTTATTTATTAGGGTTCAATTTGCTTGGGTGGAACCATGTTCAGTTTGGTGGGCTGGGAATGTATCTTCCTTAACTTTTTTTAAGTTATTTTCACATTTTTATTGACATGTCAGTTCCATTAAAACCCTGATGACAGTCAGGCTGAAATGAGTG